GTGGCCCACCTCTCCAGCCTGTGCATGTCCCTCTGGGTGGCTACCTGAAGGGTGTCTGGTTTAAGTCAGCCAGACTCCAACTGTAATCCCACGGAGAACAGCACACTCGGGAGCTGTTTAAGCTCAAAGGTGTGTGAGACAGGCGAAGGGAACAGCACACTGTAGATACTCAAGTATTCATGACTACAGGGGGAGCCTGTACAATGAGCCTAGACTGAAAACCAAACCTTGGGACAACTGATCTTCTCTCTGCCTCAGTTTACCCATCTGTAAAATGGGCATAGGAACAATGCAAGATACTGACCAAATAACACATAAGCATTGCTTCCCTGATAAATGCTGTTAAAACAGACAACACCATTCTTGTCCAGCCAATTGAAAATTATGTGAACACAGTACACAGGATTCTGCAGGCAGCTAATCAGATATGCATGAAGTGTAAAAATAGGAAATCTCAACGTGATACGTTTTTCCTTCCTTACATAAATAGACACATAAGTGTTTTGGGGTGCACAGTTACCAGCCTGTCAGCTACTGCTGGTCAGAGCTGGATGCCAAAGGTCCCATTAGTGTAGCATTAAGCTGAACACTAGACCCTGGAATGAGATCTCTTGACCTTACCATCAGAAACTGTCATGTAATATTTTGTTCAGATACACCTGTTTGTGGGAAGGCAGCTCCTTACCTTTTTCTATTCCATCAAAAAGGAATAACTTAGCTTCATAACTTAAACAGCAGAGCCTGAAATCAGACTCAATTTTGCTGTTCCATTGAACAGTTGAATGCTGTTGAATGTTCCATTGCTCAGTTGAATAGTAAAGATTTCCAAATACCTTAGAAACTCACAATGTTAAGTGTGACATTTATTTACCTCACTTTCCCCTCATTTTAGCTCAATAGCATCAGAATGCCCCCGCCAAGTTTCAATAACACAGCAGTTATAAACCTTTATTTTAAAACTTCTTTTTACCACTCAGTATTTGGAATTTGGAGGTGGGAAGAATAATACTTCTTTGCTCCCAAATGGTGACTGGAGTCGGTGACTTGTTCATGTGCAAACTGGAACTGCACTAGAGACAGGAACCACATGCAGTTCTCTGCCTTAAATGAAGCAGCTTTTGCCTAGGAAATGCAATGCCATCAAAATAAAGCTTCATAAAATTAGGCAACTTCACCAAAATTTCATTTCAGGTCTGATCTCAGCTAGACTACACCTGCTGCTAATGCCCTGCAGCAGGGAAAAACCTTGCTCAGGTCCAACGTGCCAGCTGAAGGAATTCTCCAGCCTGCATGTTATACCAGTTTCCCCAAGTAAAGCTACTCAAGACAAAGGTCCCCTCTTTCAGCATAGCTACCAGCAATTCACAGGGACTTCCCAGCTTTGACATGTCAAAGAGAAGATGGGAGAGGAGATGCTTTGCTGGTCTCCACAAAAGGAAAAAAACTATTTTCAGGAGGAAGCATTTCCCATTTTTCTAGGTAGTTTGAATTTTTGGGGGTTGTTTTGGGGGTCTCTTTGTTGTTGTCTTGCTTTGTTGTTGTTTGTTTGGGGTTTTTTTTTGTTTGGTTGGTTGGGGTTTTTTTTAATATATTTTACTTTAATGCAACAGCTGAAGGAGCTAAAAATCAAACTAAGGTGTTTCAGGTTTGATGAACACTTGACTGCCCCTGAAATGCTCCATGTACCTGTGCACAGATGTTCCCTCACAGATGTTTTTGCTCACTACAATGGAAATATTCAGCCAAAAAGGTCAAGGGAACCTCGCTACTTCCCTGTCGTAGCCAGCATACCCACAAGCTACCCTCGTGTCTCTGTAGGCTCAAGACCTAGGGAAGCAATTGAATGCTCACTGACTCTCCCCTCCAAATCCTCAGCAATGAGAGGGAGAGGTAAGCAGCCCTTACTTACTAGAAATATTACCCCCATAGCAAAAAATTGATAAATGCCCCTCAAAGGAACTAATGATTTTGGAAAATGGAGGTCATGTGTGGGTGGAGGACCCGCAGTGCTCTATGTGCAGTGAAGTAATGCTTCTGCAATGTATGTCACTTACACAAAATTTTCTAAGCACCATCTAATCATCTCCTGATGGGGAGAACACGCATGTCCCTTGTCCCGTGTTTTACTCACATCAGTGCACATTTACACCAGCATGAAATGAGAATGGTATGGAGAAGACACGTCTATGCCATGCTCTTTCCCCAGGACTCCTCTTCTCTCTGTTTTGACCTCTCCCTAATATTTCATAACACTAGTGTTCAGGCTGTCACCCTTTTGTGGCAGACATCAAACCTTCTACTGTCTCTGGACAAGAAGCTTACCATGGCAGTACCTAAAACAACAGTGCTAACACAGGAATTAGGGAATGCATACCTGATTAGCTTCCCTGCTCGCTAGGGAAGACCCAACACCAACATCAAATAAAAGTGAAGCTTACTGGTCACAGTGAACTGGGTAGAAGTCCTGCTGTCATCAGCCAGGAAGGCAATCTCACCAGCATCTTCCATCTTACACTCTCGGATGATCATGGTATGTTGCTTGCCCGAGCATGTGATGGAGATCCGATCACTGGGTTTCACTTCTTCTTTATTCTTCAGCCATCGGATGTCCTGGCATTCATTGTCCAGCTCCACGCAGAAGATGGCCGTATCGTTTATGAAGACTGCGGTCTTGCGGGGAAGTTTTTTAATGATGTTCCCTTTAAATAAGAAATAATTATGGTCAGCAACCAAGAGATAAAGTCTCTGGCAACACTGGAACATCCCGGCTACAACAGGACTAGCCAACAGCTCTCACCTAATCACAACATTGTAGACACTGTGCAAACATCCCTAATGAATTCCTAGGCTCTGAGTTTCACAGAACAGATAATCCCATGGACTCATTTTGGCCTTCCAAGAGAGAAAAGCAATCTTGTTTGACTACAGTCGCTCATGTTTCTAGCCTAACACGCAGAGCCTGCTGTTGGGTAAACACAAGGTATGCGGCCTTGCCAAGAGCAGATTTGACAGTGATGTGGCTTTTACTGCCCACATATGCTGGGAATCCAAATTAAAACTCTGCTAAAAGTAGGTCAGTCTTAAACCAGAGAGGTCTCTCGCCTGTCTTTAGGATTTTGCCTCCATCAGAGGTACCAGTAAGTTACATAACCAAGACACCAAATGCACCAGTCACCTGTATTAACAGAAAATACACTGAAACCCTCAGGTTTCTTCTTAGAGTCAACCCAGAAATTCACATGGAATGAGCTTCACTTATTTTTCAAGTGACTGTCATGATTATCACTTACTAGAATAACCTCAAAGTTACAAGACGAGATTATTCACATGAAAGCTTGGAAAAAGCATCAAGGAACCATCCCTGTTGATGGATGGTGACCGGTTCCAGCCCTGGAAAAGTCTCTGTGAGGTAAAAAGAGCCCTAACCCAGGCATATCACCTAGGGCTATTTCATGAGAAGCAATGCTGAACTCCTTCATGAAGCAACAGATCAGGCACATGCTTCACCCGTAGGATTCAAGACCCTGAGTCTCTGCTTATCCTCCCCGAATCTTGGCTGCGTGTCTGCTCCTTGCTGCCCTCAGCAGCGTCCCCATCCCTCCAGCCCTTCACATCCTGCCAAGTGCTCACATTCCCCCAACCTCACCCTGTTCTCCTGAATCTTCTCGCTCGGGGTAGGCACAGGGCTCCCTCAGGAAGGCTCTGCCTCCCTTCCCTCTTGAGAGCTCCACCTGGACCAGTCACTGTTTTTTCATGGAGCATGCCATAGTACCATAGCACAAACAAGTAAAACATCAGCTGTCCTGGAGAACATCAGCTGTTGGTGCTGGAGGCTGCTGTGTGAGCCCATCACAGTCATGCCATCCTTGCAGATCCTTTGACCCACAGCTTTGAGCAACCTGGTCTAGTGGAAGGTGTCCCTGCCCATGGCAGGGGGGTTGGAACTGGATGATCTTTAAGGTCCCTTCCAACCCAAACCATTCTATGATTCTACATGCTTGATGCCATGACACTACAAGTCTGCAGGTCAAGGACTTTGCTTTCTAGGAAGCCCCTTTAAGCATAGGGCCCCACCCCAGGTGACATATCTTGTGCAGCAAGACAGTCTGTCCCTGCTCTGTGACCCTGTGTCCCAAATACACCCCAGCAGGAGACCCAGGGACCCACTGACCCACCAACACAGCTCTCCTCTCACACTACAAGGGAGTCTGCTGTTCTTCACTGCACACATCCCTGGGGTAAATGCCATTCACAAGGTCAAGTCTGGAGTCTCATGCATGAATCGGCAAGACTTGGCCCATGTGGCATAACAAGAGCCTTTCTTACCTTGGACAGACAACTCTGCGATGGTCCTGCTCCCTTCTTTCATCTCGCAGATATAGACAGCATCGTCATCTGCGGTGACGTTCTGGACAGTGAGCCGGCGATACGTGCCCTCTTCTTCGATGTTGTATTTCTTGCTCTGCCGGAGTTTGGTTTCCTCCTTGAACCAAGCCGTCTCTGTACTAGGTACAGGCACTTCACACTGGAAGGTGGCAGATTCCTTCTCCCTCACTTCAAGATCCTTCAGTTTTTCTTTGAAGGGTATTGAAGGTTCTTAAGAGAATAAAAACAGAAAGAAGCAGCAAGTTTGTGATTGTCTGGAGTAAGAGGTGGACAAATAAATAAGTCAATAGAAAAAAATTAAGCATTAACACTCCTTATTAATGATATTGATTTGTCCTGAGCTGCTGTCCAAACTATCAAGCCCTTCTACAGTAAGTGTTCTGCTCTCACGTGGAAAAAAAAAAACCTTAGATCCCAGCAGATGTGTATTTCAGGACTTAGAATCATACAGAATCACAGAATCATTTAGGTTGGAAAAGTCCAGCAGTGGACTCAACTGGTTTCTAGACTTATCTAAAGACAAAGCAGTATCAGTCTGAGCTGCAGTACCTACCTCACACCACCACACAGAGGAGTTCTCTCTAATCCAAAGCAACGTTGGTGAAGCATGAGGTTAATAAATCCTGCTCTTGTGGTCTGCTGGTCCTCTAGCATGAACATCTCTCTGTCGCAGCCTGTCACTCAATGATGCCAACAACAAGAGGGGCAGGGTCCACCCAGCCTAACCCTATACATAGCAGCAGCCACTTCACAGCAGAGTGAAGATGGACAAATAGGAAACAAGTTGGTCTTAGGGAGAGGGCACAGGGCAGCAGTTCTAGGTGAGTGTGAGCAGCTGAGCTGCTCAGTCGGTGCAAGAACCAATGTTTTGGGGATCTTGCAGCAGAAATGAGCTCAGTGGAGGGATCTGAAAGGGCACAGAAAGATGAGAGGTGGATGTGCACCTAAGGACAGACATGGGGGAAAGCACAGAAGTAATTGATGGAGGAGTTTTCTGTTCTCCTCTCAAGCACCAAAGCCTCTGTATCAGCTTTTGTCAACCATAGATCATAAGAATGGTTTGGGTTGGAAGGGACCTTAAAGATCATCCAGTTCCAACCCCCCTGCCATGGGCAGGGACACCTTCCACTAGACCAGGTTGCTCCAAGCCTCATCCAGCCTGGCCTTGAACACTTCCAGGGATGCGGCATCCACAGCTTCTCTGGGCAACCTGTTCCAGTGCCTCACCACCCTCTCTGGGAAGAACTTCTTCCTGATACCTAATCTAAACCTCCCCACTTTCAATTTAAACCCTTTACCCCTTGTCCTGTCACTACAGGCCCTTGTAAAAAGCCCCCCCCAGCTTCCTTGTAGCCCCTTCAGGCACAGGAAGGTGCTATAAGGTCTCCCTGGTGCCGTCCTTTCTCCAGGGTGACACTGCAATGACAATCAGAGAACTAGAGAAAGAGACCAAGTCTCCCACACTGGCTCTGCTTTCCTCCAGCAGCAGGGCTGCAACGCTCTGGCTTAGGGAGAAACCGGAGCATAGATCAAACATGCAAAACAGCTGCATGGCAGTGAGGGAAGAAACTTTACAAAGAGAATAATGTTTAATTCCAGTGACAGGTGCACTGTGAAATCATCCTGATACCCCAGCACTAAACTGGAGAAAGAGGGGGTTGGACTGAAGAGGACAGCCGGTGGTCACAGCCACGGGACTGGTGCCATCGTCATGTCACAGGCTTGGATTAGCCAGTGCTGATGCATCACCACTCACGCGTTGTGAGAGATCACGTCTTGACACGTACCTTCATCTTCTAATAGCTACCACACCGGCTCCCAGCCTTTTTTGTGCCTCCATTCTCCCTCTCCCTGACCCCACAGACAATCCCAATTTCATGTGGTCACTAGCAGTCAGTAATGCCAAGTGTTAATCTAAGAGTCAATCTTATCTTACATTTATAAACCCATGCCCATGGTGGCACATCCCACACCGAGTCATGGTGCTCTAAAGGCTGGAGAAACACAAACTGAGGCCCTCAAACACCCCAGATTCAAACTTTGATGTCCAAGAGCCTCCATATTGTAACATTCAGATCTGGTAGCCCAGCACCTGAGCCGGTCACCTGCCTCCTCCATTAGGATGGGAACTGCTATGGGAGCAGTGCTGTCTTTGATCTGCTCTGCTCTTTTCTGACCTCAAGCCCTAGAAACCCACGTGTTCAGTTTCGCAGGCCTTTCGTTCCACCTCTGGCACAGCTGCGATTGGGGCGGTCACATAAACCCCTCCAATCACTGCTACCTAGGCACAGCCTGGATGGAGATCGTAGAATGGTTTGGGTTGGAAGGGCCCTTAAAGATCATCCAGTTCCACCCCCCCTGCCATGGGCAGGGACACCTTGCACTAGACCAGGTTGCTCAAAGCCTCATCCAGCCTGGCCTTGAAGACAGCCAGGGATGGGGCATCCACAGCTTCTCTGGGCAACAGATACCAGACCCTAAGGGACACCTGTGGGGAGCAATGCTATCTATTGCCTTGTTTGTTATCCTGAGATTAAAACCTGACCAGGAACCCATACAAGACCTTTAGGAACAGGAAGGTGACTCTAGGTCACCATCCCGACTTGGTTATTTTCTTAAAAAAAAAAAAATGTTTTGCCTTAATGCACCTCAATTCAAGTCAAAGTCTTACCCTGAACAGCCCCCAGCTGAGGCTACACAGACCTGCTCTGCCCACACTCCACACGTTAATTACCCCTTTTAATTTAACCCACAGGTAACTCAGACTCCTGCCCTGCAATCCCGTATGTCACCTCTGGAAGCACTCCATGTAGTCAGGGGGAATGAGGCAGTTTTCATTCTCATTCCCATGAGCAAGAGGATGAGACCCAGAAAGCATTAATCAGAAGGATGCCAGCCTCTGGGAGTTGGATGGAGTGTTGCTGTGTGAGAGAGAGTCTGGATCTGACACACAGACATGCCCAAGGGCCAGAAGGAAATAGGAGATGCACCTCAGAAGCACACAAGTGTTTTCCCATACTTGGAACAACTGGCCATATCATTAAACCCTCTCCCTTTACAGTCACTAAGCAGTATCTAAGGTTAAAAAAAAAATAAAATAAGCTGTTCTAGGAGAAGCTCTAAAATGTACAAAAGCAGAAGAGTTGGTTGATTCTTGTGTGCACGTGCAGTAACAGCACCGGGATAGTAGATGCCAGGCTATCCTTGGGAGCTTGGGATCACAGATATCCTCTGAAAACAGCTTTGCTTTCGTCCTACAGACATGTGTACACACATCTTATCTCACTCTGAACAGCTTTTCAGAGAGCCAGCAGCAGATAAACGGAATCGAAGGCTGGGATTCACCCAGCCCACTGCTGTGTTTTGCTTTGAAGATGTGAGAGAGACCCCAAAACCCACCAGCCTGCTCTTCCTGAATATATCTTCATGCTCTTTACATCATCTAGCATGGATGTGGTCAGAGGGGGTTAATTTTGGTCAGGGGACTACAGAAGGACCAAAGGTCTCTTTGGAGTAGGCATCCCAAACAATTCATCTGGCCCCTAACCAGCCCTCTGCCCAGGTCAGGGAGATGGCCACGAGGGAGCAGTGTCTCCAGTGGATCAACAGGCAACCCAGACCTCAAGGTAATTCTCACTGTAAGCTTGTGTCAAGTATGACCCTAACGCAGACAATAAAGCCATTTCGCTATCAACCATTTTCCTTGTTATCCAAAATGTTCATAGTTGCTTATCTTACAGGGACGTTTGCAGAAAAGAGCTGAGGTTACATGTGACCTAATTCTCACAGGGATCCTCTGTTTCAGATAAGAAGTGCCACCAACTCCCGTCTTTATTTCCTATAGATGTCAGAGCTGGTTAGAAATTGTTTAATACTAAGCAAGAAAGGTGATTTCTGATCATTCAGTTCCATGGAAAAATGCCAGTTTTGCTCAAAACATTCAGTTATTCAAACTTCCTTTGAGAAAATCTAGGTGGTGTGTGTCTGGAGTGGAAATGTGATCTGCTCTGGTGCTTTTTGGGAGCCATGGTTTGGTGATTTCCTGACCACTCCTAAGGATGCTCTCCCAGCCGGGCTGTGTCTCCCAGAATATAGAGCCCTTTCAGCTCTGCTCAAGTCATCAGAGCTCCACGTACATGGGGGTCCCAGGCACCATGGAAGAGACAATTTAGACACAGATGACACAGGCTGCAGTGGGGGAGCAAAGGAAAAGCTGGAAAGGCAGTTCAAGTGGATGTCATTTCATACAAAATCCAAGCAGAAGTAAAAAACAGTGGGTTTTTCTGATCACCTGAAATCAACCATTATCTAGAAACATTTAATTCCACGAGAGCTGAGTGGTGTGACTTTGAATGGGAATTCTGCTTTGTCTTTGTAACACCTGGACTCCCAGGACATGGCTCATTTTCATTAACACCAGATGCCCTGAGATATCGTTTAAATTCAATCCATCAGTATGTGTTTTTTACTGTACAGTTTTTTCTATTAATCTGGTTTACCCAAAGGAGAAATACTCATTAAGGAATATAATGAAAACAATAACATAACTAAAGAAGGAAGAATAAGAGACATACAAAAACCTGCCTATTGAGAAAAATGGGAGAGAGAAACAGCAAAGCAACACCCTGAGGGAGCATGGAGCAGGAGCAGCTCGTGGAGTTAGCAGGGAACTGCAAGAGCTTAGATCAGATATGAATTTGGCTGCTTGTCTTGAGAACATATTTCTCCAGAGTGTCATAGGCTTTTTTGTTTAGTCCACACCAATCAAACTAGCAATGACATGATGATATTTTTTAAAAGCAGGTCCTGGTAACACATTTTTTGCTAAGAATAGGTACAACCTGCGAAGAAGCCAATGTTTTCTTAACCTTCTCAAGGAATATCTGTCTGCTTGACCTGGTCTTCTCACTTGCCTACATTTCCTCTTGCCTGTTCCTGGTTTTCTCACCATTTATTATTTCAGAGGCAAGTTTTCCCTCTGCCTAACAAAAATGATCCAGTGAGGGTAAGAATACGGAGAATCCTTCCAGAGGAAGCTATCTCAAGTTGCGTGGACAGGCTTCCACCACCCTGTGCCTTTGGTGTTCTTCCGATTTACTCTGCTGTCCGAGTTTTCTGTCTACCTTTCACATTTCTCCAATTCTCTTTGAGATCTCAAATGTGACTACCATGGTAGTGATCATCCAAAATCACCTCAGGTCAGGGCAGAATCAAGTGGCCTCAGCAAGAGTCTGTTTTTCCAGTCTCTATCCTATTTGGCTTGCAACCTTTAACCTTTTCATACAGTATCTGATTACTGTATTCAGGGACTCAGCTGGACATTGCTTGGCCCAGGCCCAAGGATGGAGACCTGTTCGCTGTTCTTGCTAACTTTATACATGGCCTCAGGATATCTCCACAGCCTTCAGGAAATTCCAGTCAGTTATTTGCGTTCCTCCCATCCTCTCTGCTCCTTGGTTTGGTAAAAAAAAAACCAAAAAAAACCAAACCCAAAACAGAGACTCATAGAATCATTTAGGTTGCAAAAGACCTTTAAGATAATTAAGTTGAACCATTAACCCCACACTGCCAAGTGCACCACTAAACCATGTCCCCAAGCAGCACATCTACACATCTGTTAAATACCTCCAAGGCTGGTGACATGATCATCTCCCCGGGCAGCCTGTTCCAGTGCTTGACTACCCTTTCCATGAAGAATTTTTTCCTAATACCCAATCTAAGCCTCCCCTGCGTAAAGGTTTACTCTCGGGCAGGATCTCTTAACTTTAACATCTCATGTTTCAGCGTATGGCTTGTGATTTTATACCCGCTCTAGACACCAGAATCCAGCACATCTCCGAATCGGAGTAATCAACTCTTGGTTTTCCTTAATCGTGCGAGTGACTTTCTGTCCTGCAGCCTCTCCTTTGAGATTCACGTCTGATTCACTACCTCTCATTTAGGAACAGCTCAAAAAAATCTCCTTTTCTCAGCTCAATAATCTGAGAGGCATGGGTTCAGCAAATGCTTACAAATGTGCTGAGTCCAGGTCTAGGATCTTAACCCACAGAATATAAAATATAGAGGTTTGACCTGTGCCCAGTCCTACGCCCTGCTAAGAGCTACCTTACAGACAGTATGCTGGGCCAGGTAGTCTTTTTTATTATTATTACCATCTTTAAAAGACCCATAAATATTCTCACTCGGATTCTTACATTGAGATTCTGTGAACAAAAATGCCAGAGCATATTTAAACCCGTGAAGCTTGTCCTTCCTGGCACCTATGTCTATAGACACGGACCGGGGATGCAGCGTCACAGGCTCTATAAATACACCAGTATCTGCAGAAAGACCAGTGCAACAGCACGGTGCCTGCCGAGGGTGGGTGCTTGGAGAATTTAGCCTCTTCTGCATGACTGAGCAAAGAGAAGGTTGGATGGCAACGTGACCTACCCCCCTAAACATGATGGCAAGTGAGCTAATGGCATCACCAACGGAATTAAAAGCTCCCTTCACTACTACATCGTTCTGAGCTGTCTCTGGAGGGCTGAGAAGGGCTTCTGGTGACACAAAGGAGAATCATTATTCAGGGCCTAATTATAACCAACACACGTAGATTTTCCATGGCACCCTTGGCCTGGTCAGAAAGCCCAACATGGTATAGGATAACAAAGAAACAGACCATAAATATTTCCATTTAAGCCCTCTGACTCACAGGCCTTGACAATGGACATTGATCAATAACCTTTTCCCATGGTGCTTGCTCCCAGACCTGCTGCTTCGCATGCTTTCCCCGTCTCCTTTGGAACAGGTTGCACCCACTGGGAACAAACAAATGAGCATGGACAGAGAGGAGGGGGTTTGTCTTTGCAGGACAAGCGCTGGGCAAGTAACGGAGCTTAAGCCATGCTCAAAGTGAACACCCACCCAAGGGCCAGGCTCTGAGTCCCAACTCATGAGGTAATCACAGCTTTATGGAAGAGGACAAATGCCCTTCCCAACACCACTCAGCACCTCCAAGGGATGGTAATGAGTGGGACAAGTTCCAGCGAGTTCCATGGATCAGGTGTCACTGATGGACACGAGGACTGAGTCACTGATGGGAAAGACAGTGAGTGTGAAAGGAGAGGTCCAGAAAAGGGAAACCAGAAAAACAAATGAAAGTTGAGAGTCTTAAAGATGGGTATGAAACACAGACAATTCCTGCTCATTTGGATTTCTGATTTTGCTTCCATTAAAACCCATCTATTTTGCCACTCAAGTGGCAAAGCCTTTTACATCTGAGAGTTCATTTACAGGTGCTCCGTGGGTTGCAGACAGCCTGCTGTAACCTTGCCAAATGGGAGAGCAGCTTCAAAATTTAGAGCTTCCTTTGTGAAAAGGAAAGAGGGGGACTTTTTACAAGGGCCTGTAGTGACAGGACAAGGGGTAATGGGTTTAAATTGAAAGTGGGGAGGTTTAGATTAGATATCAGGAAGAAGTTCTTCCCAGAGAGGGTGGTGAGGCACGGGGGCACGTTGCCCAGAGAAGCTGTGGATGCCCCATCCCTGGAAGTGTCCAAGGCCAGGCTGGATGAGGCTTTGAACAACCTGGTGTAGTGGAAGGTGTCCCTGCCCATGGCAGGGGGGTTGGAACTGGATGATCTTTAAGGTCCCTTCCAACCCAAACCATCCTGTGATTCTATGAAAATGTGTGACACATTTTTGTTGCCACTCTGAAGAACTTGGTCTGATCTCCTCCAGCTGTGAGGGACTTGCCTTGGTGAAGGCAAGTTCTTCACCACGGATCACAGCAAACAGAGGCAGCCTGGACGTAGTAGAGCTGTGGGAGCATACAAGGACTGCAGGCTATCCAGCAAAACAAGCTGGGAAAAGGCTGAAGAGACCTGGCAAGAACAAGGCTGCTGGGTCACTCTGAACAGGAAAACTGAGATGGACTGTAATTAAAGTTGGAGTAGGTCTCCCAAGGGATCCAAGGCAGCCTGACACACTTAGCTTGCAGGAAGGAGTTTCCTCTACTTCTGCTTAAATAGCACGTGTCTGCCAGATTGACTAATCCCTGTGGTGAATATAAAGGAGGGTAAGATGGAGCTTTAGCATTCCCTGATACAAAGGATGGAAATGGATCTCTCAGATTACTATAAAACCAGGACAGATGTGAGCTTTAGAGACCTGGTTCATCCCAGCTGCCCCACACCCAGCCAGTTTGACATCATCCATCCCTGGCATCCTTTCCTAACACCCCCAGTGATGAGACTTTCTCCCCAGGTCATCTGTTCCAGCGCTTAACCCCCTTTACAGCCGGAGGGCTTTTATTCACATCTAACCCACGCTCCCATACAGCAGTTCAGCGGCAGAAGTTTTGTTCACGCTCCCAACCCAATTCAGAAGTGCACTGCCTGGCTCCTTGCAGGCAGGCCCACCCTGGTTAGAAACATAAGCACCCACCTTTGACGGTGACGAGCACGGAGCTGTAGGTCTGGCCTGCCAGGTTGGAGGCCGTGCAGGTGTACAGCCCATTGTCTATCTGTTTGCAGAAGAGGATCTTCAGCACAAAGTTCTCCTGATCATCCTCATAGATGACATGCCGCCGCCCTTCCAAAATGACCTCATTGTCCTTTTTCCACACAATCTCTGGCTTGGGCTCACCCGTCACGTAGCAGCTGAGCTTGGCGTGCTTCCCCTCCGTCACACTGCACGTGCGTGTCAACGCCCCAAACGTCGCGTTGCGGGCCCCCTTGGTGGCAAGTCCAGCGGCTCTCTCGTAATCCCGGGAGAGGCTGTAGCTGATGCCAGAGAGCCCTTCTGCCATGCAGTAAGACTGGGCAGATGTTGAATCAAGGGCCCCATGGGAGATGTCCGTTTTTCTGATCTCTTCCCGCCTCTTTTGCAAGTGAGACAACAAGGATGCCGTCTTGCCGCAGCTGGCATCGAAGTGGCTGCTGCTGCCCGGGTTGGAAGAGCCCTGCATTTCCACCACCAGCGCAGCTGAGGCACTGGCAGAGCCGATGGGATTCTCTGCCCGGCAAGTGTAGGTGCCGCTGTCCCCCAGCCGGGCACACTGGATGGTGAGAGCGTTAGACTCCCCGGCAGACTCCATCTGGAAGCGTCCGGCATCAGCCCGGTTCCGCAGATGTCTCCCATCCTTCTCCCAGTTCACGGAGAGGGGAGGGCTGCCCTGGACCTTGCATTTGAACATGGCATCTTCTCCCAGCGTTACTTTGATGGAGGAGGGTTTCTGGATGAAGTATGGGGCTGACTCCGTTACTGTGGTCTCCTCTCCAACTTTGATGCTGACAGCTGCAAAAGCTTCTCCGATGGTATTCTTGGCCCGGCAGATGTATTGACCACTGTCCTCCAGGCTCAGGTCGTAGATTGTTAGCCTATAGAGATCCCCATCTTCCGTGGTTTTAAACCTTCCTCCAGACTGGACTGGAAGTTTATCCTTTTCCCAGGTCACAATTGGGATGGGGTTTCCAACGATCTGGCAGCTCAAGGTGGCATCCTTCCCCACAGACACCATAAATGCCTTTGGCCGGGTCAAGAACCGGGGGACTCCGCTGAACGAGCTGTAATCCATCTTGGTTTCCTAACGGGAGAGGAAAAGAAAGCAAATGTAAAGACAGGGCAGATCATAGATGAGATGGTGCAGGTAAAGAATTCCTGCACTTCCACGGTAGCAGGATGTTGTTTGTGGTCTAGAACAGTCTAGTCAGGGCATGTTTTCATTGTCCTTCTCATTATGGGTGAGAAGGTCTTGGGATATTTTTGGTTCACACATTCTGAGATGTGAGCCCAGTAAACTGCTGATGGAGGAGGTAGCTTACTTCCCCACAGGGTAAAATACAAGTCTTCAGGCTGTTCATATGGGAAGAACATGATGGTCCCTTTCAGCTTCAGCACTAGGCCACTGACCTGCACTAATGCCGTATAACCTATGGGCTTGTGCTGTAGCCATAGCGAAACAAATGGGCTTTAAATTCTCAGAGATGTGTCTACCCATCAAGATACCTCCTCAATTTTCATCTCTTTTTCTATCTCATTGCTCTTGTTCTCTTCAGTTTTTCTCTTTCTCCTTGCCTTTTTTCTTTTTTTTAATTCTCCTTCTACAACACGCTCCATCTCTCCTCTTACCCTCTCTGGTCATTACCCATCCCTAGGTCTTGTTCTCTGAATCACAGTCACAGAGACCTTACCTTCAGGGTGCAGCCTTTAGGAGGACACACAGATATGCCTGTCACATTATGGATGATATTTCTCTTTATTCCCAGCTTCTATTCAACACAACCACTGAGATTCAGCTACTTTGATGGCAATGGTATGCAATGTGTCCCTCTGGCTTATATACAGCCTCATCCAGATGGTGCAGGGCCAGACACAGCTGAGCTGGGGATGTTTTTGCACATCCATGGCTTGGTGCATACACACACCACGTCCACCAAAGCCACACGAAGAAATCAAGAAACTGCCCTGGGGATTGCATGCAGCAATCGGGATAGTGCCAGGCTTCTCCAACGAAGCCCCACATAGCTTAGGGCTTACAAGAAAGATGCCTCATCACCCGCTTATTCTCAGCTGCTCTCTGAGGGGGCTGTGCAGCCTGCAGCTGTTTGATGACACAGCCCAGCCAAGGGAACGAGGCTTAGGCAGTGAAATTCGGGTGCCTTTGTGCCCCGAGAAAGTCGGGGCAAGCAGTGGCACTAATCTTACAGCCATGTCCACTCACACACAGAGTCCACACATCCCTGTGCAGCTGGAGAGCAACGCGACAGAGATCGGCACCTTCAGGGACCCCCTGAAGCTCACCCAACACACAGATTTTCTTGCTTCTTGACTGCTCCTTACATGGACTCCTGGATGTCCTTTCCCTCCTGCTAGAGTGAGTCTACTTCTAATCCTCCAAGAAGCCCTTTTCCTGCATGGTCTAGCATTTACTTTAGTAAGTACAGAACAGCTAAAAGCCTGGTCTTGTCCCCATTAGCACCAGTAACCATGCACCAGCTGAGTCCCTGAGAGCAGGATGAGACCTGACCATAGTGATCTGTAAGGGAATCAGGTGTCCCAGCTCCAAGCCTCTCTGGAAGTCCTACTCAGAGACTCGAGTGCACTGTTTCTCTCCAAGCTACAATATCTCTTTGGCCACATGATGCCGGACACTCCTGCCTCAGCAAGCTCACACACCTCCTGTATGAGCGATATGAACCGTCTCTGCAGTGCTGCTCTCACCTCTCTGCTTTTCCACCTTCGAAGTGCCACACAAAGCAGAAGGACCAGGGCACCGCGTGTTGTAAGTAACTCAGAAAGCAAATAATAACCAGTCACCGCGACAGAAATATCCTTCTTAATCCTACAGCAGTTTGGCTTCCCCGCTGGCCACAAATCCACCCACTCTCTCACCCAATGGCAGATGCTCTCACAATCTCTTCCCCCACCTCC